CTAGTTCTACTGAGGAAGCCCTGCAGCTCTGCTTTAAACAAGTGAACAATGAAAAAATTCATGGCCATGATTTGATAAGACTGCTGCTGCTCGACATCTTTTTATTCACTTCTTCTAGCTTTTAGACCAAAGAAGACTCAACAATAGTTACATTTGCAAGTGCAAATAGAAGAGATCAGACTATACATAAACCAGACTGAACAACCGTTTTATTTTTACACTGACACTTAACTCCAAATAAACTAAAAAAAAAAAAAAAAAAACGAAACTTAAATTAACTCCTAAAACAAAAGTCAATCTAAACTTAATTACACCACACTTAGGGCCTGTCCTCACGAAAACGTTTTTCTCGATTCCGGATAAATACTTACGGGTGTGAAAACAGTATTTTTTGGAAACGGGTCCCAGAGTGAGAAAATCCGAAAAACGCCGGATTTTTAACCTCAGCCGCCGCCGCTAGACGCGCCGCCGCTAGACGCGTCATAACAACAACAACGATGGCGGACTACTACTACTTGTTTGTAAACAGCGCATGCTCCATGGCTTCTTTTCTGGTTTTAGTGTATTGGTGTGGCGGCGTCACAGCGCCACATACAGGCCTGTCATATGTACTACAGCGTTTTGGGTTTCAGTGAATCCGTGTGGACGCAGATATTTCTGGAAACGACGCAGTGTTTACGGAGATTTTTTTCGAAACGACTTCGTATTGGGTGAGGCTGTGTATTCGTGTGGACAGGCCCTAAGTCAGTTAGACTAAAACCAAAATGAACTAAGCAAACTAAAGATGGAACTGAAACTTCATTTTTAAAAAGTAACTAAAAGTAGTCTAACTAAACTTAACGTCGCACTTTACTCGACATGTGAGACTTTAAAACAAGACGATACGGACTAAAGTGAGCCGTGCTCAGTGTGCTGCATGAAGATGAGACCAGACTGCATGTCAGAACCACTCGCCATGGCAACCACAGATGATCTGATTAATTAATGAACCTTTTACTGCACACCAGCTACTGTTGTTAATCACTCACGCACCGTTTGGCCTGCAGGGAACACAGTAAAGCAGTGAGCTCAATGTGTGTGTGCGTGTGTGTGTGTGTGTGTGCGCGTATGTGTGTGTTATCCTCAGGCTATCTGAATGGGAGACCGTTTGGTAGAAATCAATGACACGGGTGTCATAAAGGGAGTGATTCTTCTCATAAAAAAGATTCAGAGCATATGCTGTAGCCTGAGGCCTGGTTCCTAAAACCCTTGTTAGGATGAAAAGTAATGATTAAAACATTTAGCCCTTCAGCCTGCTCAGATTGCACCACAAGTGGGACAAATACATGTTTAGTTTTATACATGTTAAAGAATAGCACGCATCTCCTTCATGAGACACATGGACACACTACACATTAGAAACACTGATGAAACGCCTCCTCACTTCTGCTTTGTTAGTGTATGTGTGTTATTAAAGTGTGTATGTGTGTATGTGTGTATGTATGTATGTGTATGTGTTTTATTCTCTCTCTTCTTTTGGTCTCAGGGGATTTTCGCATACGTTTCACTATAGTCTATACACAGACTATAAACAGACGGCCTCACAAACACCAACCAACAAAACAAACAACAAAGCCTGTCAAGACAGAGAAACACTGCATGAGAATGTACACACACACACACACACACACACACACACACACACACACACACACACACATACACCTTCCTGCAGGTTCTTGTTCGTAGTTTAATTAAGATCTGTGTGGGTGATTATAAAAGTCCCCTGAGAGTCTAATCGTGCGTGCGTGTGTGCGTCTGTAGGTGTGTTTACTAGAAAAAAAAGGAGCTGTGCTACATTTCAGGGGCGTGTTTTTATCCGCCCGTTCATTGCATAATCAAACATTCATTCCTCATTATGTTGCAAGTGCCAATATGTCTCGGCTGAGGTGCTATAAATTTTAATTGTCTGCCTCTGTGTTTGTGTGTGTGTGTGTGTGTGTGTGTGTGTGTGAGTGTGAGTATGAGTAAAAAGATAACTCTGTCTGTTCAGATATATTTCATAACACAGCTATAGTCTGGCCAATGCTGTTTTGTATCTCATATATTCATCTTCATTGCAAATGGGCACAGTTCCATTTAGTGTCCCCGAGAGCCAGAAACCAAAACACCAAAGCCCTGGAACTAGCTCACCTAAAAGGCATGCAGTCGTTGTCACTCAAAGCGGCCATGCCCCTAATTATGCATAACTTTCAGTCTTGATATCATTTAGAGTTAAATAAGAATTCACCCCCGTACAGCAAAACAGTTTTTGTACCAGGCTGTAAACATGTTTATTTCTGCTGTAAAGTTTTAATTCGGGACCTTAAAGAGATTGACTCAGTTCTTAAGTGGCCATTCGAGGAACTGCAGTTTGTGACACCTCCGCTATGTGGCTTCATTTGCAGTCCACAGAGGTTGCCGCTTGCAAAAGTCTGCTGTGTGCACAATGGCTCACTGTCACTCTGTTGTGGCTTCCTGAGACACCTGAATGTTCTTTACTTAAAGGTCCAGTGTGTAACATGAGGATCTATTGGCAGAGATGGAATATAATATTAATACATAGCTATGTTTT